AGTCTCATTGATACCACTATCAGACCAGTAAATAAATAAATAAGAATGGAAAGAAAAAAAGGCTGCTCTGGAAACAATCAAGTTATGACAACATTGAAAAAGGTTCGCTTCGGCTCTCATCCTGGCGAACCGCAGTTCGTGGTGATCTCCAAGACCCTCGAGTGCCTAGTGATACGCAACGAAAAGAGCAGGTGGGGAGTAAAGAATAAAAACTGAAACACCAATTAGAAACAGTAGCTGAATAACGTTGGACACAATAACCTATAACCAGAAAACTCAGCACGACTCTGTTTCTATGTTTCGATTGTTCGTCTTTCTTTCACATAAAGGCAGGGAGCACGATAATTTGGTCTAGCGGAGAAAACGGGAGCAGGGACACTGAACAGTACGACAGTAGAAATGAAAAAAAAATCACGGCGACTGCAAAAGAAATATGAAAACACGTTACTTCAAGTGGTAGCAAACTTCATGACAATGTAAACAGGGGTCGTGACAGAAGCAACGACATATCCATGACCTTGTCACGAAGTGACTGTCGGAAACTCGCGGCAAATAAGTGAAAAACGGGCACTACCCGCAAGAAAATCTTGTACTGTGCCAAAAAAAGATATTTTCGCTACAAGTAAGAACCGAGACGCTTACAACTCTCAGAAGAAACCCTGAATAAGGGTAAAAAGCGCCATTCAGCAGCAGATTCTGGGTGAAAACAGCCGATATGATCGCGATTAATTGCTGATAAGTGCGGCCACTTGTGGGAGTGCCATGGTAGGAGGGCGTATGGATTGTATGTTGAGCCTTGCTAGGATGCTCAGAGACGCTTTTATTTGGAAAAGATGTATGTAAGGCCTTGAGGCCTGCTCAGGATGCGACATTCTTTGGTGATCGGCACATTCCTCTTACAGGTCGGGGGAAATCGGCCTGGCTTTTTGCCTTCAATCAACAGATTTGTAAAGATATTGTGGCCTGATGGGTGTTTGGCTGTCCGTTAGCAGCAAAATATACATAACCTTACGAATGATGTTATCATACCTCTTGTTGCTCATTAGATGACTCCCTTGAGAGAAGGTGAGATCCTCGAGATCGAGTACTTTTCTGGCAGCCAACCACTGACCAGCAGCCACAGCTTCTTCTCCAGCAGCAGCCGCTGCCCGCCTTTGGGCCGTCTTTTCACGTTTAGCGCCGCGCTCAGTTCTGGAGAGAGAGAAATAAGCCTTCAAAAATCATAAACGCAGAAAGTCTGGTTAACGAACCTCAACAATATCGGCCTCATCTGTTTCTAGAAGCTGTGCAAGCACATGATGTAGTTCAGGTTTCATTTTCATTTCCTCTTCGATCTGAACAACTGGATAGTGATGAATTCTCAGAGAAGAAAAAGCAAATCACCAACCTTGACTCTTTCTTCATCTTGAGCTTGTTTCAGTAAGGTACAGTACAGAACCATATGTCGATGTTGGCGCAGAGTACGAATAAAGTCGAAGTGATCGAAGCCGAGCAGAAGAACCAACTTGTTCTCACACTCGCGATCGTCTGCTGAATCCTGAAACCAGAGGAAATTCGCTAACTGTATTATGTATATCGCTGAAAATTTGTACAATACTGAATAGGAAAAGCAGAACGGACCTTCAAGATGCTCAGAACCTCCGTTACTTTTTGCTGAGCCACAATAGGATCGTTGAAGAATTTCGCCAAGGAGCGTTGAATCCAATGAGCGTCAATATCTCGTGGATGAAGAGCATCCTTCTTAGTTCTCTCTTCTTCCTAAAAAAATTTACTTGAATCGTGCCATAAGTAGCCATGCCAAGAGTAGAACTCACTTCGTTGAAACCTCCACCTCGAAGGGTTTCGTTATGTTCAGCCTCTACTCCACCTTCGTCGTCACTGGAGCTTTCATCGACATCTGCAATTACATTCGTACCTTTCTGATCACCCAAGATCTGTTTTACTCGCAGCTACAGTATTTCCGAGCTACTGTTCGAGAGTCTGTTTCATTTCGGCATAAACCGGGGACGTCTCAGGCCATCTGTCAACCGTGAAGGCTCTTTCTTTCTATCTCTTTCTACCTCTTTCTTTCTCTTCCCTCTGCCTTATTCTCCTCCCTTTGAATGCGCAATGATTTAAAACATCTCCGAACCTAGCGAAGGGGCATCCAGTCGACAGATGCACTGTGCCCAAACCGGGAGAAGGTCTCCAATTCGTATGACTTACAAGGGAATGGTTTGAACTTCCCATGGAACTTTGAATGGAGACCTAGGTACATCGATAGAGCCTCGAATGCTGATTACGAATATGCAGATTAAAAGTGCTACGGGGACCTCCCAGACGAGATCTGGGTGGTCAAAGTTTGAGTTCTGGCTCGTAAGCGCTGCTGATCGATGCCTCGGCAGTGCCACCGTGGCCTCGTGGTAATGGTCTTTCAAGTCAAACGCATGCGGGTTTGCATCCGGTTGGCGCGAAAATTTTTGCTTCGCTCCGTATAAGAGCTTCAACTCTAATTTTCAAAATTCTTCCGAATTTACGGTCCTGCAGCAGGGCAAG